GTGGAAACCAGCTGCGGTGTAGATGATCACCTTCATCCGGTGCCAGGAGCTCCTATCTCCAGCCGTCACACAGTGAGCTTCAGCCTTGCCACACATCGTCCTCCATACGGATTCGTCTATCCGCGCAGCCATCTCCGTATACACCCCTTGTCTATCCGATGTCCTAAGACTCTCCGTGGCTCCCGTGATCTTTGTCTCTGGCACAATCACTTTCGTTTTCAGTGACCGGTCTGCCTTCGCCACTTCTATCCAGCGTCTGAGCCATACTCCAACCTCTCCAATGCTATCCCTGCCCTCCTCGCTGATCACCTCCCTAATCGCTGAAGTTTCCCTATCATATAACTCCATGTCTCGCGGGGTCGGCCACATCATCCCAAACATCGAGATGAACAGGATCTGCGCCCAGAAGCCGAACGTTCGCCCGGCACTGATGTACAACTTTCCCGCGTCCACCCCTATTCGAGGGAACGCCGTACGCATAACGTTCCAAGGCAGAGTGATGATTCCAGACTTCTTCATCAGTTTATCCATGGCTTCTCCAGCCCTTATCAGCTCCTTAGCCTCCTCCCTGACTCTGTAGTTGCTGAGGAATCCATTCTCTTCGAAACTTCCGGGCCCTACCCAGAGCACATTGGCATTGGCTTTCCTGATCGTCTCCCTCGTCTCCCTCGCCACCTTGGTCTTAGTGTCGTCGTCCGTGGCCTCGAACCGTCTAACCTCGTCTATTGCTCGGCGAGCACTCCCTGCTGCCATTCCAGCCGGGGCCAACACCACAATAATGTTCGTCACTTGATTCCCTCCCAAGCCCTTCGAGACGCATTCCTTGCACACTTCCTGAATCTTCTTGTACGCACCCTGGTAGGTCATCTCCTGCGTTCCCGTCAATTTGTGTGTAATGAACGACATACTCTCCGCGGCCTTTCCACAGTCTCCGTGCGCTTTCAATAGCTTTGCTATCCACTCTCGGACTTCCCCCGGTGACGCCGGATTCTTCTTATTCGAGACGCCCTCTATCCCCTCAGGTATGATGATGTGTACGTAGGTCTTCTGATCCGCACTACATCGGAGCTGAAGTGGCGGCTTCATTCCCTCCGCCCACCATGTCACCAGCTCAGCCGCCTTGCGCTCATGGAATGCAGTAGCTATGTCAAACATCCACTCGTAGGTCTCCACCGCGGACTCAAGCTCGCTCGAAAGCGCTGGCTCCATCAATCTCCCTCCAACTCCGCCCATTCCTATGCCAATGACAGCCGCCCAGGCCTGAGCCTCGAACGCCCAGCTCTGGTCGACGTCCTCCGGTCTGTTCCACCCATATTTCCTGGGTGCCTTTTCTATCCCCAACACTATGCTCCCCACGTCCGCCATTTCCAAAACCTTGCCCATGTGGTGCGTGGCCTTATTCGCCTTCTCCATGACTTTCTCCTCTATCCCGCTGCTCTCCATACACCGTCTGTAAATGGCTGGCCCCACAAAACTCCTCCACGGCATCTTCACGACGGCGCTATCGTGTCCCGTGGCCATTGGGGCCTCTATCCCCATATACTCCAATAAACGTATCACATTGGCCCATTCACTATCCACCGGGTAGTAGTCCTTGTCTCGATCAGGCCCGGACACGCCCCCACCGCTAGGCAACTCTGCTATCCATCCCCTCATGAGCTCTATCAAACCACTTCTTGAGCCAGTCGGCTGTTCGACGACCTTCGTGACATTTTCGTCACCTTCCCGATGCAGGAACTCACGTTCCATCTTCCAATCCACGGGGCGCTCAGGAAGAGGTCCTCGGGCCGGGCCTATGATTTCGCGCTTTTTCAGGTGATAGCGCCAATACAGCCTCTCAACCCCTTGTGGATGCTTCTCCATCAGTGCCGACATCTCACTCATGAGATGGCTATTCGCTCCTAAACCCGGGTGCTTCGGCCTACAGATAAGTGCTTGCCCGATGATCTTCGTGGCCCTCATAAAGCAGAACAATACCCCGTCTATCTCCACTCTATCCACATCCAGTCGGATCTGCCCGTCAGGCACCGACGATCTCCTTGTCCCCACATCCATCTTGACATTCTTGCCTATCCTTCTGAAGCCGGCCAGTACTCTTACTATCCATCCATTCCCTAACGAATGCCATGTAGAGTATGATGCTGTACCACAGATGCTCCGTCCAAACCAGCATCCCGCAGAGTCGTGCACACTGGGAGCGCCGGTCGTCCACGTGACCAGCGGATGGCTTCGATCTATCCCACCAGATGCTATCATCGACCACAACGCCTCTAGAGACGTTCCGTGGAAAATCCACCCGGGCACATTGAACTCCTCATTCCCGACCGACATCTCCTGATTCAGCTTTTCTGCTCCGGCGTATTCGGCCTTCGTGGGTACCCACATACATCGCGAATCCGTGAAATGTTCTTTCACATCCTTAACCCCCCCGTCTGCCTGGACCTCCGGAAATGTGGTCACTTCTTCGGCCAGGGACCAGTGCAACAGGTGTAGAACTGACGTCGGTCCCCCTATTTGCCATGACAGTGTATCCAGATACTCCTTCATCTGCCCATTTGCCGCATTCGCCATAACTCCGTATCCTTTTTCTCCCCCCTCGCTTCTCCGGAATTCCTCCATCACGTCTCTTCCTCTCTTCAAGTATTGGCTCTCGTAGGCCCCCATAATCTCGTCTGCCATGCCTATCACCTTGATCTTGGGCTGCGCCTCCGTCCATATCTTCAGCTTCTCCTCGCTCGACTTATGGCTGACCGCTATCCGCTCTGCAACCTGAGACGGTGGAATTGCATACTTCAATGGTCGCACGGCCAACCACGTCATCATGCCTTTGATCGCATCATCGAACGGGCTCTTCTCTGTGTCGTCCATGTGGATCTCCGCCCAATCTAGGGTCTTTCTGCTGATCCCTCCCCAGCTAGCCCTGAACGGGTCCTTACTTCCGTTCGTGACGTCATACACCCCTCCCACAGAGATGGCTATCGGTGCCACACCAGCTATCATCCTCTCATATGATCTCCCCTTCTGGAAGGACTTCTCTGTCTCACCAGTCGCGCCGAGGAATTTAGGGGCCCATGGCGTATCAACGTCTCCTCCCGTGCCCGCTGTGGGCATGGCACATCCAGGCACGTCCATCCCTCTTGCCAATCGCACCCCTATCAAGTCGTTCAGCTTCTCCTTCGACAGGTTCCCGGCATCAGGACTCGCCTGGGGTGGCGGCTTCGTCGCCCCTCCATGCGACCTTGGCCTATCCCAGTTCGCTATCACCCTCTCCAGGTAGTCCGTGGCATCCGTCACAGTCGCAGCTATCAGAGGGATCTTCTCCCTTATCCATGCTTCAGGATTCCGCCTTGTACACCGTAGTACCTCCCAGAGATACATAATCTTGTGCACTCGCATTCTATCCACATCGTATCCCACGGCTGAACGCTTACCTCCTTTCTTCGCCGTCTTGGCCTGGGCCTCTTCCGCTCGCACACCAGCTATCCCACTGCTCATCCATTTCTTGAAGTCTGCATCGTCCTTGAATGGGCTGGGGATAGCCCGTCTAGCCCATACCTCCTGCATCTCTAGATTTCCCTCCAACATCCAGTGTATTCTAGCCTGTTCTCGCTCCTTGGCTCCGACTGGCAGATACGAGTACGTCGTCACCCCTGGCACTCCATCCTCCGTCTCGGCCTTGAGGTACCTATCCGCGTCGGAAAACACCTTCTCCAGGAAGTCTATCATGGCCTGTGCTCGATCACATCGTTCCCTCTCTCCTGCATCCCTGGTCTGATGCTCTGGGCGTTGCCATCGTACCCCTACTGTCCTCGAAGACGAAGCTGTCCCAGGATCTTCACTGCTTCCGATATCTCTATCCCGCTCACTCAGCGACACCGATCCGAACATCTCTCCCATGGCTCCACGCTATGCAGGTCGCTAGAGCCCTCTTCTTCCTTATACCTGCATGCAACTCAAGGTCACACAAAATTCGCTCTAGTCAAGACGTCGTTGAAGAGCGTTACAAAGTTCTTCAATATTCACCATATTGCTATTATCTATCCGAGCCTTTGATTCTTCACTAATGTATATGGTGCATTGTACGTCCTCTCCTTTGTCGTGAAGCTCTCCTATCTTCGTCTTTCCCCGCATTCGAGCCAGTTTTCCACGTGCAGCAAGAATTCTCGCTATTCCCTCGGATATGGCGGCATCACTGCGATTGATCAGCACAATCCCAATGCCCGCAGCGATCACTCTGTCGACCAGTAATGCTAGGCTATCAGCCGCACTTTGGTCCTTTCTTCCCAGCTTAAGCTCTGCTCCGCGGGCTAGTCGAGACGGCGAGTCAACTCGCTTCGGTGCTATCACAACTATCCCGTCGCACTCACCGACGATCGCCTCATCGACCTCCAGAATTGGCGAGTGTTTGATATCCCACACCATTTCCCAAATTATCCATCTTCCCACTATGGACTTTGCTATCCCAACGTTATCCCTGATGTCATACTCGAGCTGATTTTGGGATACCCCCCGGCACGCGGGCATAGCTAAGATGGTTCCCGTTGCGTTCCCGAACTCCTCTTCACCGAAATGTGCGGTAGTGTACATATCCCTTAACCACTCTCGTGCTTCATTGATGGCCTTGGTCATCATGTTGGCAGCCTGATACTCAGTAGGACAATTGACAAACGTGAACATGACTGCCTCGTAGAACTGGTTCAGCCTAGCTATGTCTATTCGTTGTGTTCTAGACAGGTACCTCATGTTCGGATTCTTGCCCGATACAATCACTCTAACAGCCGCCTCATTGTCCTCTGCCACTATCAAGGGTTCTATACTCTCCTTGATCATCTCCCATAGTGTCAACCCCGGTATTCCTTGTTTCGTGATGCCATCGTGCAGGGCTACTATCTCAGCTTCAGGGGTACTTTTGGAGCACGACGTTTGCTTCTTACAGTAAGCGGCTATAGGAACGAAAGTGTGCGGTCCCTGAAGACAAAGATATACCCCCGACGTGGATCTATGGTCGTTCTTGTCGCTGGCAAGATCGGCGTCGCAGTATAGTACAAGACGGATGTCTCCTATCCTATCCCCGACCCATCCGTAGAGGCTCGTTGTGGTCGTCTCGTTGATGTATGAGATCAGTCTATGCATTCTCTTGTCACAGAGATGTGTCCAGGTCGTCAGCCTCGACGCCAGAACCTGTACTGGTCGCAGAAGGTCATACCTTCCGACTCTGGCCCCATACAAGATCTTCATGAGTACCGCAGGGGCGTGCTCTTTCAACACTCCCGGCCCCTCATCCGGCAGCTCGTACTTGGCTATCCCCATAATTTCGTTCACCTTGTCGTCTACTGGGTTCTCGTCGAACTCTGGGCGGCTCTCGTCGAGATATGGGGTCTTAGCTTTATCCAGTGGCTTAGGATATGCCGTCGAGCACAACTCTTGATATCTATCCACACACTGCTTCATGAAATCGGTAACATCGTATCGAAGAATCCTGATTTCATCTGGACTATCTTCCTGCGCCTCGGCCTTCCCCACGAAGTTAGGCGGTTCCTTCTTGGGCTCGATGATCTTCGTCCACTCGTGTCTCGGCTCAAACGGCGACCGAAAAGGTATCGCGCTAGCCGTGTGCAAGCATCCCAAGTACCTACCCATACTTCGTGGCTCTTCGAGCTTGATTCTCTTCGCCAGCTTCTCCCATCCTATCGCTAAGTTCTCTTTGGGCCCCGCAAGCTTGAAGTCGTCGACGTAGATCACCAGCATCAGCTTCAGCTCCTTATGGAAGAACACACTAGGCCAATCTGAGAGGAATTCGAAGCCGACCTCAGTCACGGCCTTTTCGCAGTGCTTTTCCCAGAACCCCCCGGCATCCGGATGCCCGTATAAAGCTAGTCTCAGTGGCACCACGGGGTCGTCTATGCCCTCCCATTCATCTGGCCACCTATCCCTCGGGATCCGTATCCATGTTTTAGGCCCCCCCAACAGCGCCTGCGTGTATGCCGACTCACCGTCCGACATCTCGATGTCGTGTCCTGGCAGCATCCCATAGGCATCCGCCATCTTGCCTGCCTCAAGTGTCGCGGGGCATGATGTGATTTCTTGAAAGATGGCCCACTTTCCCTCCTGGTCTTTGACATGACATCCCTCAAACACAACTCTCCCCTTATACTTCCTAAGAGGATCGTCTTCAGCAAGCTCCCAGTTCTTTTCCACACAAATGTCGAAGATACGACCTACATGAGCTATTTCCCCTCTATCCATTGCCTCCCGTTGAACGTCCTTCCACGAACGCACCTCCTCCATTATCCAGACCACTTGATCCATCAGCTTTTTCCATTCCTTATCAAGCGCTGCCCGAGCCTTGGGGTTGATCGCCCTCTCAGCTTTCGTCACGGGTCTAGCGACAAGTCCGAACACTTCCTCGATGTCTTCCTCTTCGTCCTCTATGATTGTGGCCATCAGTGGCTCACATTCTCCTACTGTCTCGTCGATGCTATCACACACTTCATTTTCCGCAACCTCTTCCCAACTATCCTCTTGATCTGCATCCACCTGTATAGCAGGGACTGCGACTATTCCATCTCCATACTCCTCGTCTTCAGTCTGATAACCCTGCCGGATCAAATTATCAACGGGCGTAGTATGCTTGTTCATGAAGCATGCGAAGCATAGCGTCATCGACGTGAGGATCAAACTAGGTACCTTGGCTTTTCCCTCCAGCAGTCGTCGACATTCTCGGCATCTGTATGCCCTATCCGAGACATGCTTGACGCCGATTCGCCGCCTATCCTCATCTCTATTCCTCCCTGCTCTCAGTCCATGACCCGCACTATCCCTGTCTCTTTCCCTCGCACGGGCCTCTCTTGCCCAGATTGCTTTCTTGCTCTCCCGATGTGCCCTACGATGTCTCACTTCCTTCACGTTCTCAGGCATCATGCACCCGCGCATCCTCGGTCGCAGACATACTCCCTTAGCGAACTCCATTCTCATGATTGGCCCCCCTCTTCCTCCAAACGTGATGGGAAAGCTATTCCTATTCTGTATAGCCACCAGGATTTCTCGCTCAGGTGATACCTCGTATCCTATGACGTCGCACATAGTTTCCGCCACAAGTTGTCCAAGCGCAGACACTCTCACACTTGTGCCAGGATCTTCCGGATATGCTATCCCAGTACGAACCCAGGTGTATCCTATCAACGGAACATGGATGTCGTCCTTTAGTTCGAGGACCAGTGCATTCCTCTCTGCCTCCCACATGACTATGTCGCATTCGCCCTTCTCCATAGTCTCGAGGTTGATGGTTTCAGCGTGCCCGGCCCTGAAGAATGCCTCATCCACAGGTTCCCGTTCCTCCTCCAAGTCCGACAGCGTCCATCCTTCTGAATCAAACACATCACTCTGGTCGTCAAATCCGGAGCTTTCCTCTCTATCTTGGTCGTGGCGTCGGTCTGTGTCGCTGCTCTCCCTCTCCCCGGTCAGCACTACTATCCATCCGTTGCAGTTCATGTCTCCCACCTCGAGCTCTTCTCCAGGGTAAGCTACTGCGGCCCCTCCGGTGCTATGTCTGGTGCGGCGACTGTTTGGCTTCATCATCATAACCTTGCCTATGTCGTCGCCGTCGACCAGGATCACGCGCAGGTCCTGTATGTGTCTCGCCCGGGGTCCGAAGACCTCCCCCATTGCCTCTCGGCCTGGATTATTCATAACTATGCATCTTTTCCATCTGGGCTCCTCACGACTGATGTACGGTGCCCCATCCTCGGCAGCCGCAGCAGCATAGTTCCTCACCAGCGTCTGATCTTCTCTATCCGTAGCATCGTCGACGTGCTCGTCGTCTCCCTCCATGTCTATCACCCAATACGAGTTTCCTCCGTTCATTCTTCTCTTGGCTATCTTCAGCAGCTTCTCTAGTGATCCCCCAGTCTCGTCACCTCTAATCGTTCCCTTTTCCAGCTGTGCCAAGGAGTCCACGTCCAGTGTCACCATACCACTGCTATATCCGAGATATTCTCCCTCGTGTTCTTCACATGCCATCGACACCGAGTCACCCTCTTCCTCGCCGCAGATGTTTCCCACGTCCTCTATCACCTTGATCATTTCGCGTATCGCTTTACGCTCCTGCTCTCGTTGTACGTCCATTTTCGTGTCCGATATCCTCACCATGTGCGACATTAACTCATGATCCCTTGGCATATGATCGCATGCTAACATGTCCGCCGCGATCGCATTCATCATACATGGTGTGACCATTCCTATGTAACACGACGCGTCCACCCCGTCATTCATACCCAGCATGCATCCATCACTCCGTACTATCCACATGTCCCAGGCAAGCGCCATTCGAACAATGGTCTCGTCGGCCAATCGACTTTTGCCGCCTATCCAGATGGTCGTAGCCACTATTCCTCTGCTGTTGGCGTCGGTGATAACCTTTTCTATATTACCAAACACTCTATCTCGAGCCTCTCGCGTACTATCTAGACCTTCCTCACGTCTCCAACCGGATGCCTTTCGGTCAACTTCTACACTCATGCCCTCGCTAGACGCATCGATAGCGATGACCACATCCGTCACACCCTCTCCTATCACACATCCTTCCCCCGATATCCAAGATACGTTCTCACCTCCGTTATCCCCTATTTCTTCTATTCCGACCCCCATGACCTGCACTTTAGGCTGCTCGCCCAACTCCCTCATTATTTCCCCAATGATGTTGTCGGACGGCGTTCGCGCTATTCCAGCTGTGCTGCACAATTGATTGATGGTTTTCGCAACCTCCTCAGTATCTCCCATCCTGGATGCCGGTGCGGCAGGTTCTGCTGGTTCTCCTCTATCCCTGATTCGTCGGTCTTCTCCTCCGTCAGGGATGTACCAGAACTCCGTGATGATGTCCCTGGGCACAACGAATCGGTATCTCCCTCTATTGCGCATCATCTCCGCCTGTATGCATGAGTCATATTCAATGGATTCTAAGACCTCTCCAGTATTGGCGCTCCGAGTGACCCTCCACCAGAGCTCGAGCCGTCTTTTGTCCCTTCCGCCATAGAATCGGTAGGATGTGGCGCGATTGTTTCTTACTGCCCACACTCGGCCACCCTCAGGCATTCCCGATGGAGAATCCCATCGGTACTCCTGCGGTGAGAAGTCCTGGCCATGGTCGGTGATTTTCTCCATCCATTCTCGAACTCCAATTTCTGCGGGACGCGGTCCTATTCCCTCTTGCCCTCGAACGGCAGAGGGAGGCCTCTCTCCTCTGATGATCCTCTCTTTGTCTCCCTCTATATAGCGCAGTCGCTGTCCCGGACTCATCCTATTCCACTCTGCCGACGAAATGGAGTTGGGTTTGTGAGATCTCGCGTACGGCCGTTCTATCCTGGGCATGTCCTGTTCGTAGTCTAAACCCACCCCCCGTATACCCGTCGCCTTCTCTCCCCGCGCCCGCTCCTTGGCTTCATCCTCTATCTCTCCCTCAGGCTCCCCCTTTTCCCAGAACGTAGTGCACCCCGTCCATTTCTTGGTGATCTTCTTCTTGCCCTTCATTCTATCCTCATCCAGTACCTCCGATGTACCATCGGCGTACACTATCCACGTTCGCCTCCTTGGACCCAGCTCTCTATCCCCGGGGCCACCTGTACCTTTGACCTCCTCGCCTGGGGTACACAGCTCCTTTCGGGGTAAGATGTGATGAAGCGTCCACGAATGGTCTATCTCATCATGTTCCCAGAAATCCCCGTTTTGAAGATGCTGATCGTCGCACTTAATTTGTCTCATCACATCGGCTCGTACCCTTCTCTCCTCTGCGAAGATTTCCTCCGTCTCCTCTCCTTGCTGCCCCTCTCTCTCCAGTTCCAATCTGGCCAGGGCATCAGCTCGAGTCGCTGTCATGATTCTCGACTTCCTATCAGCCACAGCTTGCATCGGGAAGTAGTTGGGCATCTCCTCGTCAAGTACTATCCTCTTCACGCGGTGTATCGACGGTACCGTCCATCCGTGATACAGGTGCGCCAGCTCAACCACTATATAGTCTCCGCTCGGAACACCCCCTGGTTGGAGCGCGTAACCTAGGAACAATCCGGGTGATGTCGGAGTGTCGAACTTTGCCTTGGATGCCATGGCATACGCTTGCTCTTCCTCGGCGTCGTGATCTACATATTCTTCCCCATCCCCACCGTCGTCTGCACACGCTGCCTGGCATAAGCCATCCGCTAATGTCGCAAAGTGCTCATCCAATCTGAAGCCCAGCCTCATCAACTTCCACTTGTCGTCCACAGATGCCTTTTTACCCGCTGCCAGGGTATATCCCACCGCTATCACTCTATCCTCCGGCGCCAAGGCATCTTCGGTAGCATGCCAAACTCTTGGATTGAACTTTAGCCCACTATCAACCTTCCGAGTCCTTCCCCATATCCATTTTCCCGGAAGCACCTCTTTCTTTATCCCGGCGGCGTCGCCACTCTCATTCTCACACTGTTCCTCTTCTGTCCAGATCATAGCTTCACCCGCCCTCTCGCTTACCGGCACAACAAAGTTGTACGTCTGGCTCTCGTTAAACTTGTCCTTGTGAGGCCCCATCCTGGTTCCGACAGACACAATCACCGTTGTAAAAGTAGCTTCTGGGAAACATTTTGCTATCAGCTCGCAGCACACCATGGCTATCCCCGGATATTCTTTGGCACTATTCGTAATGCCAACCTTTCCTCCGTACGCATACAGCCCCAGGACTATGAACCCTCTACCGGTGGCCATGCTCCGCGAATTCTTCGCTATTCCTTTTTCTATCGAAGTGAACTTCAGGATGAGGTCCTTTGCATGCTGCACATCAAAGTCCTGCGTCATGACCATATCGAGCGCACGTCTATCGATCTCTCTCAGCTCTTCCTCCCTTTGCGAGCGTTGTTCTTTGGTTTCCTTCGTTTCAGAGGGCAAGGCCATGCTCGAAACATCTTCATCAGCTCCGAGAATCTCAAGAGCGTCATTTTCAGGATCCCCCCGTTCGAGCAGGGCCGCGTCCTCTTTGCCAGCTTTTCTAGGCTTTTCGGCAATGGGGAGGTAGTTAACAAGTGCCCCGAAAGGAATCAGTTTCACTTTGTCTTGCTCGTTGCCATGTCTTTTCCCGTACGGGCTTACCCCGTCCACTTGTTGTACGTTCCTATGGAAGCAGAACGTCTGCACAGCGTACGGCCACCACTTCGGTTCTAGTCCTGCTTGTCTCAGCAATACTCTGCCACCGTAGATTACTTCTTTGACCTTGAGCTCCGCTATGCTATTCGTTCGGGGTAATCCGGGTGTAGAAGTCGCCCTGCAAGTTCCTATGACGTCGCAGGCTTTTGAGAATTCACCGGCTCCGTCTGCGTACAATGCACTACCATATCTGGGCCTCGGAACTCATTGATAGCTCGCACAAACTCATCCGTTCCCCTGGACTTTACGGGCGTGCAGTGTATCCACTGTGTCTTGAAGTCGAACATCACGATTGCATTGTTTTCTCCGCGGATTCCCTTGTCTTTGTTGCTGCGAAGAACTATCGTGTCTGCAGTGACCCTCTCCCCGAACTTCTCGGCACCCTTGTCGGTGATGCCTTCGCCCCTGTTGAAGGGAACGTTTATTGCTTTGCCTTGTCGACAGGCAACGCAGTGCATGTTCTTTGGGAGATGCGTGAGCAAATGTTCCGCCGATTTTGCATACTCCGGTGAGTATCTTGCTCTCCGGATGCTCACAGCTTTGCTCGACCCTATCCCTTCGCCAAGTCTATCCGCAACTCGAACTTGATCTGCAGGTCCGACTTCTGCCTCTGTTTGTTCCACTTCTCCCATGCCACCGGCGCTATCATCCTTCTGAGGCTCTCCCACTCCTCTTCTGGCCTGTTCTTCGTCGGCTATTCCGGGCAAATCTATATCAACATCCAATTCGCCTTCGTTTTCGGTGCTTTCTTCTTCGCCGGGTACAGCGACGACTTGCTCCGCGATCCTTAGGTCGTCATCCGGATTCTTCTTCATTCCGCGGACGAGCTGAAACTCCACATCCGTCATATTGCGTGCGCTTTGTCCCGCCTCAATCTGCTCAGGACTTAAAGCTCTTTCACAAAACCCGCATACCCCGGATGAATCAGCCTTACACGCGGCGCAGTAGAACGTCGTTCTCAGTCGACCATCACTATCATCTTGTTCTATCGTTGTCTCCCTATTCCTCTCGTCTATCCCCTTTTCGGCCACTGATGATACTCGGTGGTGCTTACGCATAGTCTCCTTAATGGCTCGCAGTAATCCCGGTGCCCACTCCGCCCAGTTCTGCGATTCGCCCATCTCGCCCTTGCTTCTATCACTGCTATCATTCGTCGCTCCAGTCCCTGGTCCTCTAAGATTGACCGCCCATCCTATCAACTCTGCGTCAGTCGCTATCGTTGTCGGCTTTTTCCTAGAGTGTCCCATCGGTCCCTGATCAAAACTGAACAGCTTCGTTCCTAGGATGGCACTCGTCCTATCCCATTCTTCTGTCGCCCACAATGATGCGTATCCCCCTTCTGGCGTATCATCCCAATACGTCTCGGGGTCCTGGGGCTGCTCAATGAGACACATCGTTGGGGCTCTCAATCGTCGGTGACGTGCCTTTCCTATCACCACAAGCATGCACACGCGCAGTATGATGATATCGTCGTCCCGGCATTCCTGCTTCTGTGCCCAACTGATAAATGAGTATCCCCACCTCTCCGGTCCGTTCCTCGACCTAAGCGGAATCGGACCAGGCCTTCTGTATCTCATCACGGACCTCGTTCTGCAAGGCGGTCCGGCTAGCCAGCAAAAAACCAAATTGGTCGTGGCCAGCTTCACTAGCCACCACCATGTATCAGATCGCAGCACGTTCTCCTCCATATCGATATCTATCACACTCATTCCCAGTTCGCTTGCGATGTCATCAAACTTTCCCCTTGACTTTCCACAACAAATGTGCACAATAACCCTTCTGCTCCCTTCAATCGCTTTCCTTATCTTCATGATTTCAGGTCTCGTTTCTCCCTGGGGCTTATGTGCCTTTCCGCCGTCAAGTATCTCTTGAGGAGCAAGTGGCCATAAACACCTTGCTATCTCGACTAGCGTCTCTGCCTCGCCACCGGTACCGATGTTCTTGTCCAGCATCATCGTCAGGTCATCTAGCCCCGCGTCTTCGTCCGCAGCCATTCTATTCAAGATATGTTTTCTCACCTTCGCGCTATCGCTCTGCACCGCTTCTCCTGCATCCGCTCCTTCGAATGTGAGCCCTTCTATCTTGAACATGGTCTTGCCTGTCCATAAGTCCTCTTCCGCGTCTCTATTCTCTCCCTCACTGTACTTGTCCACCCAGTCTATCCATTCCGCCACGGTTTTGCCATCTTTGTACACACGTTTGGATCTACATCTCTCGGCGAATCGCGGCACTAGTGCATGTATCTCTGGGAATTTCAGTGTTTCAAACCATGGATCACAAGTCTTCGTTCTTGGCTTGTTGTGGAAACACACCGCTTTATTACCCGTTAACATCCACTTGTCTAGTAGCCTCCCGTCATCGTTGGTGGCCTTTCCTATCGGTTCCTCTTCGGTGTCTCTATCCGTGTCCGAGTCCACGCTTTTGGGGCTACATTCATCCTGTTTCTCTTCAAGTCTCCTCGGACTGGAATTTCCTCGCACGGGCAGTTCAATCGCAAGAGGCGCTGGCATAGCAGGATAGATGTGATAGTCATTACGCTCACTTTCGTTAACAACCGTTGACATTCTATCCACCATGTATGGGATATCCCCGATGACTTTTAACACTATCAAGCTCGAATCAGGCTTGACGAACACGGGGTTTGCACCCGCCAGCCAATGAAATGAATATCCCATTTTCATACATCTCCTCCCCATTGATAGAACAGCGGGAGTACTCTCGAGCATTCTAATCCTCATCGTCTCAGGCATCCCTTGTATATCCATGCATATCTCTTGCTTTGACGTGGTGTTGCCGTTGGCAGTGTTGAACCTCACTTTCTTCGCCTCAATGGCCATATCTTTTTCATCCTGGGTGAGGTCTGCTTCTGCTATTAGATCCATAGCGCACCCCGAGTCTATCATCCATCGTCTCATTACCGGGGGCAAGCAATGCTGTGCAGACGCCGCCGGTTGACTAACCTCTCGACTATCCACGCGGAATCTCTCGTCGACTATACCTATTCTCCTGCATTCCTCCACTATCCTATCAGCCAGTCTTGATGCATCCCTACCTTCCTCGCCTTGCTCCCCGGCAAGTATGTCCAGCACGACCTCTTCGGCTAGGGATATTCCTCGTAGCCTTGCCTTTGCCTCTTCAATCACGGGATATCGTTTCACATCATGTACATACCCCTTCTTGTGTACGTTTTTGCATTTTCGTACCATCTTATCAGCTGTGTGTCCTTTCCAATAGCATATATCCAGTCCTGCTATCCCCGTCTCTTCGGAGCCCAACCCCTTGACTCGCCTATTACCCTTCTTCACTCGCTCCCTGCCTGTCGTCGTCACCAGTATTCCCCTATGCGTGCCTTCGGCGCCATCTTCCCCTTGTCGTACCACAGGCATGGCCGCATATACCTGGCTATCCTCGCTGGCCTGTGGGTTTCGGCCCGCCCCTAGCGAAAACTTGGCCCTTCACCATCAGCATGTGGGCTCGACGGCCTCGTCTCCTTCTGCTCTATCTCTACCGTTTCAAAAGCCTCCCTAATGCTATTCGGGATAGCCTCATGGAGCATTTTACACTTGTCGTTTCTGCAGCTGCCGTACCGAAAATGCTCAAAGCAGTATCCCGCCTTCTTGAGGACCTCTTCCGCCTGACTATACAGATAAATATCGTGCGAATGCTTGCAGTCCGCCGCAGTCATCGGGCAAGTTCCACGCGTATAGGGGTAGCAGACCCCTCTTTTTCCAAACGGCGACTTGGATCCATATCTATTCTTCGGGTCATCGGCTCTCCCCGCCTGCGAAAGTCCGTCCCTGCCTCTTCCCACAGATATCCCTCTTCCGTAGCTATTTCCCCCTGCGGGCGATGAACTCCTCGGTCTATCATCGGCGTACGCGCTTCTTCTATTCACCGGTGCTCTATATGATCCCTGCTGAGCCGGCATCGCAGCGTACCCACTCGTGAATGCCTGTCGACTCACCCGCATTGATGCCTCGTCTATGTTCTTGTCCGCTCTCCACATCTCCAGTCTATCCTTGATTCTCTTTCGCAACCAGGTATGAGTCTTGGCCTCGTCCGGAAGCAGTCTCCATGCCTCAATATCGTGGTTCAGCACCTGAACTCTCTGCACTTTCGAATGCAACATCCATCCCAGCTGTTGCTCGCTCCAGGTATTGCCTTTCAGTCCTATAAGGTTCGTGTGCGCTAGATCCCATCTAGTCATGAACTCCTCCAGTGCCTCCTCTTCGGGCTTCCCCGGGAAACTCATCACCTTCGTGCTACTCAGGCCATCGTACAGCACCTGACTCTCTTTTGCAATCGGGATCTCAACATGCTTTACTATCAGCGTAAGCAATCTCATGGCCGTCATCGGCTTTCCATCCCCCACTTGCTGAGTCTTGTACATCTCCATCTTCACCTTCGCCGACAATGACTCTGACTTTATTGCTCTCTTTAATCCGCTAAAAAGCTGGTTCTCCAACGCAGGATACTTGAGTTCCATGTCTATCATCGCTTCGCTCCTTTCGCGTACCCTCAATACCTGCGTGTATGCATAGTCCCCGTCATACAGATACGCAGCCTTCGCAGTGTGTGCAACATCGCCCAGCCACAGTCCTACTTCCCCGGATGATGGCTCCTTCGCTATCGATATCTCGTTACATTTCTCCATCCCTCTGGTGTCCTTGAACTTGTTATACCCTCCGCCTACCGGATTTCTGAACCTGGCATCGTCCCCTTCACGATCGCGTCCACTCTGCGGCCTTGGAAGTCCTGTCCCTGCATACCCTCCGGCATCGCATCCCCGTCTATCAGTGGAGCACAGCATGCACAAGTCATCATGGTATTCATAGCAATTACCACACACTTCTCTTCCGCAACCTTGGCACGCAATCATCATTTCCGCTTGTCTAACACACACGGGGCACCTTCTAATCCTAGTCTCTTCCCCCAACAAACCTCCATCTCCCTGCCTATCCTTTCTTCCATGCTCTCTTCTATCCCCAAAAGAACTTGGCGCAGGCGTGGCACCGGCACTTGGTCTTGCGGAGCCAGCGTTCGAAGCACCTCCCGCACCCGGCGCTGGCATGGCGTACTCGGAGCTTTGCTTGCCGATCTCACCGATTCTATGCCACATGCTATCCAGCTCTGCTTTAAGGCTATCGTTTCGTTTCACCTGCTCCAGTCTCCGTTCATATTCCCGTACCATTGCCTCCAACTGCTCGTTCTTCTCCTTGAGTTCTATCATTTCTCTACCTCGGAGATCAAGATCCGCTCTCATTTTAGATATCTCATCTCTACTATCCCGAACCATCCGCGCTACCGACTCTGTCACTCCTTTGTTCTCCCCCTTCATGCTTTCTATCTCACTAAGCAGGCTAGCGTTCTCCCTCACGATCCGCTCATTCACAGTGGTCAACCCCTGCAATTGACTAGTGATCTTGGTCACCTGCTGTTCTAACACAATGCATTTATTCTCAATCCTTCGATCTACCACTGGACCTGCCGATTCCGTCCTCGAAGTCTCTATTCCTCGGGCGTTGTCGCTCCTGGCTCTTCCGTCAGCTCCCCCACTCCCACCATGACTATCTCGTCCGCGTGACATGGTCGGTGGCTTTCCTATCTCCGCACCGTTTCCTCGCATCTTGCCTAGCCCTTCGTTCCGTGCGCTCTCATCAATTCGAGCATTGACAAGGATAAATTCGCCCGTGACTCTCTTCTGTTCATCTATCATACGGCTCGACATTGACTCCATTGTCTTTTCCATCTTTCGCACGGTATCCTTCACCCAGGCCTGTTCTCCGTTTCTCTTCTCATCCATCCGATCGGTCCTTGCCGCGACATTCTCGCAAGTCTTGTGAACCTTCGTCATGTTCGCCACAATCTCAGCCACGCTTTTGCGGTTCTTTATCACCTCTCTCGCGACGGTCATTATGTGTTCCTTCTGCGCCAGAACCACTTCACTCAGCTTCTTGGTTTCGCCCCGCACTGCCCCATCTATGCACGTGCCGTGACCCTCGCCAGGCTCTCTGCATCCGCATCCAGGACCTTTTCCTTGGCTGTTGCAATGTGACGACGATGCCGTATCTGTTCCGGCTTTCTGGCTCCCCTTGGACTTCAGCTTCCTTAGTTCCTCGCCCGCTATCTTGATCTGGTCCCACTGTCTATTCAAAACCGTCTCTACTTTATCCAGTCTCTCGTTCTTCCATGTTCCATTCTCGTGTCGCATTTGCACGCTCGAGAAGACTACACCTATGCCACGTCTCACCTCGTTCAATCCTGTCTCTAACGTGGTGATCTTCGTCCCAGTACTCTGTTTGGCTATGTCCGCTGAATGCTCCGCTGTGGACAATCGCTCCTCCACTCCCTTCAATCTAGTCGTAACAGAGGTCTTGAGCACCTTCACGTTTTCAACCTGCCGTCTCATTCTCCGTGCGAGCTGCATTGCTCCCTCGGTCAGTTGCGGAGCCATTGCATCATCCATCCTATCCTCGCTGACGCTCCCGTCCATGATCCGACTCATCTCTTTCAGCTCCTGCGACAGTGTTGTCTTGGTGTCTATCTGCTGCGATTCTATCCAACCTCTCCAGTGCTTCACCTCCTCCTCGCATTCCACCAATCTCTTGCTCACGACGTCCGCCTTTTCCGCTGAGCTATTAGCAATTGCACTTGCACATTCGCTTGCCACCTTAAGCTTGGCTACGTCGGTCTGCGTGTCCACAACCACCGTCTGCAAGTCATCTATCCTGCCATCTATCTCTCCCAACGACGACTTGTCCGGATCAGCAGGAGCTCTCATCTTTGCCCGCCTGGGTGGGGATGATGTTGCCCTCATCTCGTCGTTCCTGCCTCGTCCTTCAGGAGGAGTATCGATCCCGAAATGCTCGTACTGCCCACCTATCCCAGGAGATCGTGGAGCCGGGGATCGATTGCCCCATCCTTCGCTACCCTGATCCGGGGTGATCATTCCTGCCTGATGGATCGGTCCCCCAATTTCTGTCGATTTCGACTTCTTCGCTGCGGGGACACTCTCGGCTATCTGGTTCATCTCCTTAACGGCCTGCTCCGCTCGTTGCTTACGCAGTCCCTCATCCATCTTGCCTATCTTGCTGGTGGTACCAACTCCATTTTCCCATCCACCCGGGCTATCCCTCTTCCTTGATGTAGATCGACCACCTGAGTGCCCACTATCCGACCCCATCGACATCTTTCGTGACCTGTCTTTCTCTATCCCTGCGGTCTCGGCACCATATATCCCAGCGTTCCACCGTTCCTGCGAATCCGATTGCATCGTTATGGGCGTTGATCCAGGCTCTCCTGGCCCCTGATCTGTGAAGAACTTTGCAAAGTCCATGTCAGTGATGACCCCCGTTTCCTCGAGCGTACTCCGGATTCCATGGGATCCCCACTCTATTCCGATCGTCCTAGTCTGACCCATCCCCACATCTTTCAACGCTTCAACGTTCCCGCCTGGTGATGCCTCCGAGAGACCTGTAGATGAAAATACAGACAGTGCTCTATCATCGCTCTCACTGACCACGTTCTGCGCTACCGCTGACGATCCCTTAGCTATCAACTCCAGGTCTGTAGGATCGGCACCGACATTCCCAATTATGGTCGCACTATTCGAATACACTCCTGGAACGAGATCATCTCCATTCCCTCTGCCCATCCAATGTCCGCTATCCGCACTTCTCGTTCGATCGCCCTCCGCACCGAGCTCGCCACTAGGCATCATCGCATCTATTCCATCATCATTCCTCCTGATCGTCCTATCATGATCTGACGATGATGACACTGCAAGACTATCCACTCTGTCCTCGATCGCCATTTCTAACCTGGAACCAGTGATTCCCTTGGCACCTCCCGTTGACTCGTAATTCGTCCCGTGGGACACAGGCTCGGAGGGGATGACGAACGGTCCCTCTTCCATCCTTTCATCTATTCCAGCCAGATCCTCGATAGCAAGCGTCGGAGTCCTAGCGTTTCCCGCTTCTATCCCACCTCTTCCGGCCCTATACTCATTTAAATCTGTAGCTCCCATAACTGGATCAAACACTACAGGACGGCTTGCAAGCATGCTGAGCTGCATTACGGCATCCCCTCTATCTGCTATCGACGGGATTGCGAGCATCTCCTGCAATCCTTCGTCTGCGTCCCTCCCCTGAGTGCCCGACGTGTCCGCTATTCCGGCATAGCCCAGTCCTCCCGACCTCCCCGCACTATCCATCGCCGCCACGATCTCCAAGTTTCTATCCGTCAGTCCTGGGGGTGGTCCTGACACTAACATATTATTCGCAGCATTCGACCTGATGTCTACAGTAAGCGGTCCTGAGAAACTGAGGCCGAGGCGATCTCTATCAGCACTGCTATCCATCTCCATTCCCGTCCTTCTACTATTCCGTCCGTCGTCGATGAAGTTCACGTTCTCGGCGTCGGCTATGCTTCTCACATGACTATCGGCAGCGGCCACATCCTGATTGACCGCAGTGACCTGGTCCTCGAGAAAACTATTCCCTACTCCCAATACATCACTATCACTAGACTCGCTGCTCCCAATGCTATCACGTGTGGACATTGCTGCAGTCAACGAACACAAGTGACAAATGCGGAAAACTTCGCTATGCAAGTGGTACCTCTTCGCTATACCAAGAAAACTTCTCGAACAGCTCGTCCAGGCCAAGCAACAAGGCTCTTAACCTGTGCGAAGTGTCCAAACCAATGAAAACTTGCGCAACCCGTTCCAGTAACTAGCTCAGGCCACACGAGGAGAAAGAAGTTGTATATTTACAGTTGTAGGTTGTAATGTTGCACCAGAAGTAACAGTATCCCTGTCAACGGGGAACTCAAGGTAGCTAGCCAATCGTTCCGAGCCACTCCCGACGTTAACTATCGGAAGGATCCCCAGAGTTGCTATCTCCAGGGGGTGGTAACCTATCGCTCTAGATGTATCCACTAGCCGTCCGGCTGCGTGTTGTACACCTATCCCGATATTCACCTGAACAGCCACCTGCCCTCAGTATCCTCCGGCCTCCGGCTATGAGTTGTAAAGAGAACAGATAACTATCCCGAGGTTAGGGAAAAGGATCTATTCCTCGTCAACGCCCGACCCTTTTGGCTCCTCTTTCCTCCGGATGCGAGTTGGCCAATCAAGTCCACGACGTACAGGAACACTATCCACGGGGGCGAAAACTGTACAATACAGGCTGCTACAGTACTAAGAAGGGCCCTTCTTGAGCAGCTTACAGCTGCGAATGGACACAGAATCAAAGTTCTATCCAGGCACGTCCACGATGACGACGGATATCTATCCCTGGTCCATGTCCAAGAAGGGTCTGAACCCGAAATACATGTACAAGTCAAACTAGCACCCCATGGAATTGACCTGACCTCTTTGTGCTAAACATATCAAAGCAGCAAACATTGCGAACCTGAGGTAACCTCGATGGATGTCACCCAACCACTGACGCTGGCTGCGGATGCTTCGGGGAACATGCGGCCGGCCATGGCCATGTACGTTCTGGAAAGGTCGTCGCTCAAGCTCCTCTCAAAAACAAGATACAGGCATCCATACGCATCTTCCTGGTGCCTGTTTCCGTCACTGTCCTAATCTTATGGCGAAAGCTGCAGTTCCGACGGACCAAAAGGGCAGCATGACAGGTCAACTCGAAGGACCTGACTCCATGCGAAAGCCTCGACTCAAGGACCGCAACTTGGATGACTGCCAACTTTCACAGGGCGTTCCTCTTTCAGGTTGCCCAAAATTCCCAAAAAGCACCAGGATGCCGCCGCAGGTGTTTAGAGCACACATGGCATTAATCAACGTTCTTTACACCACACACTGCCGATCATGTTGGCAATTGGCAGATGCCAAAGGAATGCCCATGCGTTCGTTATGCATCCCGAAGTAACACCAACATAGCACTTCATGGCTGGTAGACAACACATGAAATAAGAAGCGCTTGTTTAGTTCAACTGTTTATGTTTTGTTTCGTTTTTGTTTTATGGCTCACCACCTCCGCACACTATTCTGCAACCTCCCTCTGTCCAGGTTCTCGTAGCCTCGGGATCCCAGACAGGCTGGTTGTTTCTGTCTTTCTGCTTAGAGTCACGATGCTCACGCGAACAGCCTTGGGAATTGTGTGCGGAAGAACTGAAGAACCGACAATTCGGTGATTGTGACCCCCCGTCCCCCACCTCCTTCCCCACAGAACAGCGTGGTGATATTCGCTCTTCAGCTGAAGCACACTTTGCAGCCTGAATTACAGCCAGCTTGCACACCGAAAGCAGACCCGACAAAAACACCACAAAGCACATTGCGCAGAACGAAGACGCCTTGCCATTGAGTGAACACTGACATCAATTTTTAAGCTTTGCGCAGCAGAAGGAAAAAAACTTCACCTGATTAGACATCTCGAGCCCCATCCTCGATTGCCAATTTTTGTATCCCGCTCCCCGAAGCTCCCCGACGCTCCCCGAAGCTAGCCGAAGCTCCCCGAAGCTCCCCGAAGCTCCCCGAAGCTGCCCGAAGCTCCCCGAAGCTCCCGAAGGTCCTCGGCAGCCTTGCTGGGAGCTGTGTTGCTGAACTGAAATCGGACCTCTGGAAACCAACTTGCCTTGTAATCTGTGCTACAACCAGAGTCTCCGCTTCCCAGCCAGCCAACCCCCACCAAACCAGAAATTGCCTTTTCCCAGCTTCCCGAAGGTTCGGCCCAGCTCCCCGTCCCCGAAGGATTGGCCCAGCCCCCGAAGGTCACAGCAGCGCCACTGAAAGTCACGCCCCGGGCAAGCAGCTTTTTTTGGAGGCAAGCTTCTTTACCACATCAGCGGCGCAGTAAGCGGATCAAGCATGGTGCTTGTGAGTTAGATGAAACGCCGACTGATGAAACCTGATTCTCTCAGTCAGGGAATTGGCTTCACCATGGGGTCGGAGGTTCAGTGGAACGAACACCTGTCAAGCTAGAATTTGAGCAGATTACCGACTGACTGGTCACGGTGCGTGTTCTACAGTTGCAGGTCTGCCTCACTGCAGCATTACAAAGACGAGCGTGCAGTTGCTTCGGACAAGCCCCCGCACGCTCAGCGCGACGCTGCCCAAAGAAACTAGAAAAAGAGCAGGCGCGATCCGGTTGCTTGCGCCCACAGGCTCAAATTCAAGGGCCAAAAAAACGGGCTGTCTCGCGGCCCCAAAAATGGAGCCGCGAAATGGACCCAGCTCCCGCAATACAATTTGGAACTAGATAGGGGTGGGTGAAACTGCGACCCAAAATTGGGGCCGTTTGGCGGCCCCAGGTTTGGGGCCGCGAATTCTTCTATTTTTGGTGCTTTCCAGACTGCTACACTCAGGCGACTCTGGCCCACAGACAAGCCCTCAACGTAGTGGAAAGAGCAATTATACTGAGAACCACGACCTGCGCAGCAGCTTTCTTGTGGAAGTGATCAACATGAGAGAAACTTGCACAGGGGAGGTGCCTAGATTTTTCGACCCCAGATTTGGAGGTGACAGAATCACAGCTAAGCCTCACGCGCACACTGCCTTCTGCTTCCATTATCTGATACACTTCCAGCGAATAGTCACGTGCTCTTCCCGCAACTGTACCCCTGCCCACTTACGCGGCGTCACTAATCAAGACTAGAGGGGCACCTACTGTAGCTCTGGCGGAGTCGGCGTGACAAGCCTCGGCGGAGTCCGCGGAGTCCTCAATTTACCAATAGAGTGCCGTGGAGTCCTAGGTTTCCCGGAATAACAAAACAATGTTTTTTAATTCGGGAACACAGCGACTCCGCCGTTCGCGGGCAGGCTCACCACCTTGGTCCGCTTTGCTAAGACTCTACGGGGGTGGAGGGCCTCCATCACAGCAGGAAGGTGACCTTCGCCATGTTCTCAAGCAGGTTAAGTCGAGGCAGGAACTCGGTCTTCTAGCACTTGCTGTGGAAATCAAGCCCTCTTCTTTGGATTCTTCTTGCAAGCGGGTGCTCACAGGGTTCCAAGCAAAAAGCCAAACCTTTAGCTACGGACTTCCACCCCTTCTACAGCATTCCTGGTGGCTTAACCACCTCGAGCAATGCGGCCTTGAGCCAAGGGGAGCTTGAGCCAAAGGGGGTTACGGGGGAACAGAAAGGTCAATAGAAGACAAAGAAGTACGTGTACCAATTTTTGGCCATAAAGGCCCACTCTGCACAAATCGCGTGGACGCATGGCACATGGCTCCACTGTCTGCGAGGTGGACCTAGCCAGGATAAGCTCCGATTAATTTAAGCGTGGAAGTGATCAAACAAAGATCACCATGGCCAGGTAAAGTGGCAGGGAAAATGTTTGCGCTCGCTCAATTCACATGCAATGGTTGCAGCTCTTGGAGAAATTACTTGGAGCAGCACATCAACTCTCCTCCATCCAATTTTATGCCAGACCATTGCTCCAATTAGCCGTGCAGAAAGCGATTGTGCTGATGCACGTTCTTCTGCAAGAGATGGCACAGAGATTGTAGTCAGTTATATTTTCGGGTTTCCTTGTGATTATGCGGGTTGTGTAGTTGTGTGCAATCGTGTAAGCTTTCCCGTAACTTGAACTTGGTCCTGGCAATGCTGCTGGCCTGCCAGTTAAGCTGCAGATCTTTGTTTTGGTGTTTTCTGTGGATAGAAGACGCTTCAAGGTCTAGGAAGTTGACCAACGTGGCCTCAACGTTTTCTGCGGTTGTGCAGAGTCGTTTGCTAGATATTGCAGAATGAAAGCTTCTGGCAGGCTTGAGCTTTGAACAGTAAAGATATTTAAAGCGTGTTGCAGGCCTGGATTTTAAGTTGCCATGCGCTCCATGAAGAAGAAGATTTTGGGAAGGGCGGTTTGACCATGTTTTTGAAGAGGCTGAGAATAGCAGGTGGGTTGGGGTGGGTTCGGCGTGGGTTTGGGACTCGGGGTGGCTTGGACCTGTTTTAGAAGGGGTGCGGGTGGGCGGGGTGGGTTTGACTGTGTTTTGAAGGTGACGGCTGGGATGGGTTTGACCATGTTTTGAAGGTGCTGAGGGTAGCTTTCGGGTGGGTTTGGGGTGGGCTTGGGCGGGTTTGACCATGCTACGAAGGGGCTGGGTTGGGTTTGACCTCTTTTGAAAGGGTTGGGGTGAGGGGGGCTTGACTGTGTTTTGAAGACTGCCACTTCATCAGATTCTTTTGGCGGGCGCGGCATTTGAAGCGGCTAATCTTGCCACTTCAAATGCTACACTGTTAGAAGGTGTGCCACCTTGACAGCCGCTCCACTTGCTACAACCTTAGAGGATGTCTCTTAAATCTACAAATTAGCCGCTTCAAACGATACACCTTCAGAGCGATGTTCATAACACAATAAAAACCAAGTGATTTCAAAAATTTTTTCACATCACTAACTGCTTCACAAGAAACAAAAACAAGCTTGTTTCCAACTGTTTTAGGATTTACAACAAAACAAAACCGTTCAAAGAAATCCAGACAAGACAAACAAACACGATAACAGAAACCTGATTAAATTCAAACAAGTTCAATCAACGATCACTTCAAAAAACAAAGTTGCATTTTTTTATTTTGTCTTCTGGACACCAGACGTTTTTT